AATAATCGAATTAACTATTAATATAAATTATGTTTTCCCGAGGACTATGAAAAAGGTCCTCGGAAGGTGTGTATGTCCTCGGAAGTAGGTATATATCTGTATTTTTGTCCATGCAACATATAGCAATCCAAGTACACACACACATACAGACAGGGTAACTGCAAAGACTCCCATTGTGTGCTTCGCACACAGGAGTCAAAAATGGTTGAGATGTATCTTGCAGTATCATGTGATGGATACATAATATTTGTAGATGCAAACCATCAAATGTGCCTTCATTCTCATATCACACATTACCAAGTTCCAGGCAACAAAACAAGGCTTACGCTATCATATCGCCCTCTATGATCCCCATATCAACATTTTTGTTTATTTTCTTGGTAGTCAGTTTTAGTGAGATTCATTGACTCAGACACTTTTGTTGGTGGAAACGTGTATTAGGGCTGAGAAATAGAACTGTTTTTGTGATTTAGATAAGTTGAAAATGTGTGAATGTATGAACATGACATGCCACATTATATGTAAATGTATAGATGCTAAGCAAATGTTGGATGCTATACAAATGTTGGATGCTATGTAAATGTGTGGATGCTATGCAAATGTGTGGATGCTATGTAAATGTGTGTATGCTATGTAAATGTATGGATGCTATGTAAATGTATGGATGCTATGTAAATGTGTGGATGCTATGTAAATGTATGGATGCTATGTAAATGTGTGTATGCTATGTAAATGTATGGATGCTATGTAAATGTATGGATGCTATGTAAATGTGTGTATGCTATGTAACTGTGGATGCTATGTAAATGTGTGGATCCTATGCAAATGTATGGATACTACGTAAATCTGTGGGTGCTATGTAAATGTGTGGATGCTATGTAAATGTGTGGGTGTTATGTGAATGTGTGAATTCTATGTAAATGTGTGGATTATATGTAAATGTGTGGATGCTAAGAAAATGTATGAATGCTATGTAAATGTATGAATGCTATGTAAATGTGTGGATGCTATGCAAATGAGTGGATGCTATGTAAATGTGTGTATGCTATGTAAATGTGTGGGTGCTATGTGAATGTGTAAATTCTATGTAAATGTGTGGATTCTATGTAAATGTGTGGATGCTAAGAAAATGTATGAATGCTATGTAAATCTGTGGATGCTATGCAAATGAGTGGATGCTATGTAAATGTGTGTATGCTATGTAAATATGTGGGTGCTATGTAAATGTGTGGATTCTATGTAAATGTGTGGATGCTATGCAAATGTGTGAATGCTAAGAAAATGTGTGGATGCTATGTAAATGTATGAATGCTATGTAAATATGTGAATGCTATGTAAATGTGTGAATGCTATGTAAATGTGTGAATGCTATGCAAATGAGAGGATGCTATCCAATGGGTGGATGCAATGTAAATGTGTGGATTCTAAGAAAATGTATGAATGCTATGTAAATGTGTGGATGCTATGCAAATGTATGGATGCTATGTAAATGTGTGGATGCTATGTAAATGTGTGGATGCTATGTAAATGTATGGATGCTATGTAAATGTGTGGATGTTATGTAAATGTGTGGATGCTATGTAAATGAGTGGATGCTATGTAAATGTGTGGATGCTATGCAAATGAGTGGATGCAATGCAAATGTGTGGATGCTATGCAAATGAGTGGATGCTATGCAAATATGTGGATGCTATGTAAATGTGTGGATGCAGTGTAAATGTGTGGATGCAGTGTAAATGTGTGGATTCCATGTAAATGTGTGGATGCTATGTAAATGAGTGGATGCTATGTAAATGTGTGTATGCTATGTAAATGTATGGATGCTATGTAAATGTGTGGATGCTATGTAAATATATGGATGCTATGTAAATGGGTGGATGCTATGCAAATGTGTGGAAGCTATGCAAATGTGTGGATGCTATGTAAATGTGTGGATGCTATGCAAATGTGTGGAAGCTATGTAAATGTGTGGATGCTATGTAAATGTATGGATGCTATGTAAATGAGTGGATGCTGTGTAAATGTGTGGATGCTATGTAAATGTATGGATGCTGTGTAAATGAGTGGATGCTGTGTAAATGTGTGGATGCTATGCAAATGAGTGGATGCTATGTAAATGTGTGGATGCTATGCAAATGAGTGGATGCTATGCAAATGTGTGGATGCTATGTAAATGTATG